GGGAGTCCGTGCACCCACCCGGCCGACCCGGGGGTGCAGACGCTGTCCAGATCCAGTACCCCAGGATGGGCACGCATGCACTCACTCGGGCATCCCGTGGAGTGCAAACCCTGTCTGGATTCACTACCCCGGGGTGGGCACCCATCAGCCATCCCTGGGGGTGCAAACCCTGCTGGGATGGGGATCCATGCACTCCGTGTGGTGTAAGCCCTGCCCGGGTCTGGCACTGGCACCCTGGGGTGCCTGCGTCCTCCCAGCCACCCCATGGGATACAGGCAGGTCCAGCACACCATGGGCGGGCACCCGTGCACCCACATGGCCACGTTACCCGGGTCCAGCACCCTGGGGCAATGTCCACCAGGCTGCCTTGTGGGCTGAAACGCCGAATGGGGTCCTGCACCCAGGGAGCAGGCACCCACCCCACCACCCTGCAGGGTGCAGACGCCAGCAGTGACCCACACGCTGGTTGCGTGCACCCACCCGGCCACCCCTCAGGGTGCAAAGCTTGCTGAGTGTCCCCTACTGCAGGGGACAGGCATCCATGTGTGCACCCTGCCACCTCTCGGGGGTAAACCTTGCCAGGGTGCAAACCCCTGGGCTGCTGGTGCCGGGGATCCCTGGATAAAACGCAAGGAAGGACCCTCAAATTTTGCTGTCTTCGCTGTCTCACTGTGTCCCCAAACTCAGCCCACCCCAGTGTTGCATGGCCAGGCAATGGCGAGGATGTGGTGGTTTCTTCTGTTTCTTTTTGAGGATCGCGAAGCATTTTGAATGGATATTTGTTTCCCACTCCCCATCCGCTATTTCCCCCTTCTCCCAATCCCCATTTTTAATGCGAAACCAGGAGGGCAAAGAGAAATAACCAACCCAAACAGCCTGAGAAAGAGCTGCCCAAATTGCAACACAGCTTTGCTACCCAGCCTCTTACCCAAAGTTTGTGTTTCCCTGGGCAGTTTTGCAGTGTTTTCTTTGGTGGTTTGGGTTTTCTCCTCACTGCTTTGCCATGTGGCATCTCAGCTTATTAGTGGTATTTCTACTGTCTCTTTGGCAATGGGAAGGCATCAAACGCTTGGATCTGTATCCTCATTTCTCCTCCTACCCTGAGGAACAGCCTGGAGTAGCCTAACTGTGGGATACAACCCCCCAGCCCGGTGCTGCTTCTCCGTCATGTCTCAGGGATGTTTTGTGTGTATCTCAAACAGAGAGCAGTGAGGTCATGGTGCCCAGGTCTCCGTACAACCTGGTGCGAGTCCTGGCAGGGCACGGGCTGGGACATGTCCAGGGACGCCACGTCCTGACCCCCTGCTCAGCCAGGCATGGCCTCAGCTGTCCCTGCTCAGCAGCTGGTGTCTCCTTCCCAGAGAAGTGTTGTGTGATCAGGCCAAGGAGCTTGGGGAGTTTATTTGCCCTGATTTGTATGTGGTGAGGCTCAGCTAACCCTGAACCCACCCTGTCTGAGGACTCGGGATAGGGGGCAATTGGAGGACCTGGGATGGCTTCAGTCCCCCTCTTCTTCACCCTCCTGCTGCCATCTTGTCCTCCTGTGGGGTTTGCAGGATGTGTCCTCCATGCGCGCTGGCTCGGAGACTGGGAGCGCCTACCTTGCCCTTGAGTTGTGTCCCTGTGAGCTTTGCGTGGAACCTCCCTTTCCCCTTTCCCCCTTTCCCCCACCCTGATACGGCCACCGCAGGTGCTAAGGGGAGTTTGATTCTCCATTTCAGGCAAATCCTGGAAGGCTCTGAGCCTCTCGCAGAAGCGACCTTATGTGGAGGAGGCTGAGCGGCTGCGGGTGAAGCACATGCAAGATTATCCCAACTACAAATACCGGCCCCGGCGGAAGAAGCAGGTCAAGCGGATCTGCAAGCGGGTGGACCCTGGGTTTTTGCTGGGCAGCCTGACGCGGGACCAAAACTCGGTGCCGGAGAAGCGGCCCTGCAGCCGGGCTGTGGAGGAGAAAGAGGGGTCGGGTGAGTACCCACCTCGCCCGGGGCTGCCCGCCATCCGGGGAAAAAAGGGCCGGCAGCAGCAGCACCAGCATGGATCCCTACCCCTACGGGCTGCCCACCCCCCCGGAGATGTCTCCGCTGGATGCCATAGACCCTGAGCAGAGCTTCTTCTCCTCGCCCTGCCCTGACGAGCATCACCGCTCCCACCTCACTGGAGCCACCTACTCCTCAGAGTACGCGGGCAGCCCCCTCCCGTGCAACCACCACCCTCTCAGCCCTGTGCCACAGCCCACCACCTGCATGATCCCCTCGGCCTCCAGCTGCCCTCCCCTTCCTCCTCCTCCTCCTCCCAGCTACTACTCGCCTGCCTTCCCCTCCCTGCACCCCCCTAGCCTCCATGCCCATCTGGGCCAGCTATCCCCACCGCCCGACCACCACGGCTTTGACACCTTGGACCAGCTGAGTCAAGCTGAGCTCCTGGGGGAGATGGACCGCAATGAGTTCGACCAATATCTCAACAATCCCAGCCACGGTGACCACCACGGCGGGGTCTTGGTCAACGGACATGTCCCGGCGTCTGGCAGCTCCCACACCTCTGAGACCAGCCTCATCTCCGTCCTTGCCGATGCCACAGCCACTTACTACAATAACTACAGCGTCTCCTAAAAGTCTGGCCGGACCGGCCGAGGAAGGACCCGACGCAGTATTAGGAAGCGTTGCTCCTCGGGGACATCGCTCACCACCCTGCAGGGTGATCGAGTCCGAACCGCCAGGGCCGTGGAGTCTCCTCGGTGGCATAGGTAAAGGATTTCGGTCGTTGGCTCGCCACCGGTGCAAAGCCTCGGGCGTTCTGCTCCCAACGGGTCCGGGGGGTTGGATTTCCCAACACCAAAGCCTTTTGGCCAAGTCCCTCTTCCACAGCAGAGATGCTCCTGGGAGTGTGGGAAGGCTGCCCCCCATTTCGGGACACCCCCAGCTCTGCTTCGGAGTCGGGAGTCTGAAGTCGCAGGAAGGGGAAAAGGCAGGGATGGGGGAAAAGGGAAGATTTTGGGAAAGGGACGCACAGTCTGCAGCGGTGCTTCGCTCCACTCACAGCGCCTGATGTTGGCTTGACCTGCCTGACCGCACTGGTCGGGGTTAAACCCCCCCATCCCTCTGCCCCCACACCACGAGTTGGGGGCTTCATTCCTTGGGACATCCAGCTGGGACAGCAGGGCCAGTGCATGCACTTGGATAGCACTTGGAAAGGCGGGATCTGGCCACCATCCACCCCCCTCCATGGCTCCCCCTTGGCCTCCTGGCAAAAGCGCTCCCGAACGGGGAGGAGGGGGTGGGGGGAGGGGGACGGGACGGGGACGGGACGGGATGTGAGCCGCCCTCCCTGCTGGGCTGGGAACGGGTCCTAGGATGAGCCTTTTGGCAAAGAGGTGATGATGTAGCAGACACGTTTTTGGATCAAACGTCCTTCGAAGGCGAACGCTTCACGTTCCGAGCCGCAGTGCCCGATGCCTCTTCTAACTCCGGCGTATTATTGCTTGTAATAAAGCTGTACATTGATTTATTCCTTCCATTATTCCTCCCCTTGGATTTTGTATTGCTCCAGTTCTCTTCCTTTTCATAAAGATGAAGCTTTATTTTAAATCAGTTATATGACATGATTAATCTTAGTGTTTACTGTACGGCACTTGGTAATGATTAGTTAGTAGCATGGCTATGATTTTCTGGTTTCAGTCCCGAACATGTATTAATAATAATTGCAAGTAATACTTAAAAAGCCCCACAACTTCACAGGTTTTTAAGCTAATACATTCCATCTTTTTTTTTTTGTATGACTCTATACATTTTGAATGAGTGTAGATACGAGTTTGCATAAAATATTTAATTTAAATAAATATGTTTTTATACGATGATTGTTTTATGATTTAAATCGCTGTAGCTATTGACAAAGTTTTCAAAACAGAAACATTTCCTGGGTGAGTGCTATTTTTTTAATTTTTGTTGTTGTTGTTTTTGTTGGCATTTTCAGCCAAAACTTTTCTACTTCTGTTTTGTTTTTTTTTTAAATAAAAAAGATCTGTGGTTATCTTTGCAAATTGTGGATTGCTTTCTAAACAAACCAACTTGAGGTGTGATGTGCACGTACCTCCACTTTTTGTGGAGTCTCAGGGGCAGCGAGTCACTTTGATGCCCTTTGTCCTACTTTTACCATCTCATAATATGGCCTTTTAACTCCAGGTCCTATGTAGATATCACGGCTGAGCTTTGCCGTTGGTGTGTTGGTGAACACAAACAACATCGCGTATTTATGGAGTGAGTGCCAGTGCCTGGAGCGTGGGTTTTATTCACATTTAAGGTTGTCTTTCACAGTTCGTGCTGATGAACCGTTTAAGATGCTCCACAGCGCGAGGGCCATGTCAAGGGTCCTTGGTACAAATGCAGATCAAGGCGATGAGGCCTTCAGAAATGGAGTTGGGGGGTCAAATTTGGGATGCTGCATGACGGGGTGGTCATGTAGGTGGATGTTGAGTGGTGGCCTTCAGGTGTCGCTCCTCGTGGTCCGTGAACCAACATCACAGCCTGCTCTTGCCAGACATCAAATTAAACTGTGTCCCTGTGGTCCTTGAGGTTGAGCCCTGCAGTGTCCTTCCAGCCGTGTCCTCCTGCTTGCCCCTGAAAAGTGGAGGAGCAAGTTTTGTAACACACTTTGTGATTCCTGCTCATGTGTGTTGGCTGGAAGGAGTCTCCAGAGGTCACCCAACCCAACGCAACCCAACCCAACTGGGCTGGCTTGCCTCCCAAAAATGACTTATCTCTGACTCAGGGAGCCCATGGTCCCAGAAGGTGAGTTGAGCTGAGTATTTGGGGAAGCATCAACATGTCCCTCTTCTGTGCTTATGGTTGTCCTTTGTCCTTCACTCCTATCCCCCTTGGGGACAGCCCTCCCATGCCACCTCCTCCTTTGCCCATTGCTCAGGCATCCAAGCCCACCCTTGGCCATGTGCAGCTGGTTTCCCTTTTAGGAGGAACAAAACGGATGCCTTCAGGTGTCCTGCTGGCACCATGGACCGTGGTGGCTCTTGCACCAGCACACCAGGGCGTGACGCTTGATGCGGTGCTGAGATGGCCTGTGCAGCAGCCTGGCTGGGGCAGCGTCGCTTTTCCAAGATGTTTTGTGCCATGAGCCTCTTTGGCCTCTCTGCCCAGCGGCGTTGACTCGCACGGGATCATGCCAGGAGCAGGGCTGGAGAAGTTCTGCTCCTCCCACCTCCTGCTCTGCCCACAACCCCTGTGGTGCCCCAGGGCCGAAGGATGCTCACGGCCGCCCTGGCAGCACATTAAAAATTGTTCACAGGAGGGGTGGCCCAAGTGGGGGTGTCCAAACCTGGATCCGCCGTTCAACCAGCAAACCCACGGGGCTGCTCCATGCCAAGCAGGCCCTCATTAGAGGGGCCCCCACCCAGGGCGTCAGAGGGACACCCACCCCAGGGTGCTCCGCAGGTGGCCTGCTCTGCCAGGGTGGTCTGCTGCAAGGGACAGCTGAGAACGGTGCAATGAGTTTTAAAACTTGGTGAGGCAGTGGAGAGCTCGGCCATCCCAGCTCCCCAACAGGATCAGCTCTGGGTATTGCCACTGGCATGCCCGATCTGGGCTGGTGCATTCATCCCCTCATGGGACTCTCTTGCCAGGACATTGGCTGCTCCCTCCTACCCTGCTCCTTGTTCCCATGCCCCCAGCAGCGATGGGATGGACTGGAACACCCCACCAGCCTCTTCCCTGCTTCTCTTGGGTTGGCAGAGGCAAAGCCCACACTGAGAGCTCCCAGCAGCGCGTGCAGCAGTGGCCAGAGTCTGATTTCTCCAGGAAAAAGGGGTCTCTCCATGAATCTCAATCTGTCGGGCTGGGATGCATGGAGACTCCAGCGAGCCAAACCTGTCCCCACTTGCTCAACCTGGAGCCACGTGAGGAGAGGTGGGAGCGTGTCCTTGTGCTCTCGGCACGTCGGGAACAGCCTGGGTCCCCCGAGGGCGTTGGGAGCCGCAGCCAAGGCGAGGTGCGGCTCTCTGGGAGCCAGGGCTCGCCGGACGGATCCGGGCACACACCCAGTGCCGGGAGCAGCTGGCTTCCACCTCCCAGGACACCGGCAGCTGAGACAAAATTCAGGAGTGGAGCCATCCACCTTTCTCCGGCAGGATGGAAAATGCAACGCTACGGGTTATAGCCCTCACCTCGCGGCATGTTTTTTTGGGATGCAGGGCATTGCTGCAGTGATCAGCCAGGAAATGGGTGGCTGGCAGAGGTGGGAAGGAGCCTTTTTTGCCTGGAAAGCGGACATCCCCACACAGGACTGATGGCCACGGTGGTTTATGGATGTTGGGGGGGTCTCCACACCGAGCGGAGGTGGGTTCTGCATCAGGTGTGTTTCTCCTCCGTCCCCATCCCAAACTCGCAAGGCCGAGGAGCCTTGTGGTTTGTGGTCTGCTTTCTCCAGGCTGGGATGGGCTGGGAACCAGCAGGAAGATCAAATCAGGGCTGCAGGAAGCGATAAAATGACCTCACACCACATTCGGGCTCCTGCTCCGGGGTGTGAGGTTGGGCCAAGGCAAGGGTGTCTCCTTGCCAGGAGGTGACCAGGGAGTGAGTCCTCTGCCCTCGGTGTCCGGTGGCCCTGGCCAGCCCTTGGCCCCTGTAGCTGTGCAGGTCATGGTGCTGGGCACTGGGAGTGAGATGAGGTCACCTTCCCGGACATTGCTGGGATTGGGGCTGGCTGGGAGCTGTGGTGTGTGTCATGCCATGGTCCTCCCAGGATGGGCCATTTCCTTTGAGCAGGTGGTGACTCCTCTCCGTCCTTGCTCCGCCGGCCACGTCTACTTGTCCCAATGCCACCGGGCAGGGGTAGACCCTAATGACAAGCAGCCAGGTGGCTGCTCCGTGCCTCAGTTTCCCTATTTGTACAATAGAGATAATACTTCTTTCCCTCCCATCCTTTTTCTGCCCAGCACTTGGACGTGGTCTTACCAAGACTGTGAACATGTCCAAGAACCTGCTCTGCCCTTATCACAAGGGGTCTCTGCCCCTTGCAAGAGCTCTGGATGCTGCTACTAGATTAGCTGGGAGATGATTATTTTCCCTCTGTTGCTCTCAAAGCAGAAGGCAGGGGAGGGCGTTAGAGGCAGAGAAGGAGGTGAGGAGACTTGACCGAGGTCACCTTGCAAATCAGTGGCAGAGTCTCGGGGAGCCCCTTGACACTTCCAGCTCCTCCAAAATCCCCTTTTGCCACTGTTGACCTCTTTCCGCTCATGAGTAGACACCTTCCCCCTCCAGCTCTCTTTGCTCCCACCCCATCCTGACTCTGAACCCCACTGTACCCCGTGGGGAGCCACGGCTGATCCTGCAGGCAACAAGGAGGGACAGAATCAGGCCCTCCCTCCTGTCCTTCCAGAGGAGGGAATGAGACAAGCTGCTGAGTGGTTTCCTGCCCGGCACTGCCAATGGGAGCTGTTTGGGGTGCCGGGAGCAGGGGAGGATGTATCCGGAGCTGAGTGTTTCCTGGCAGATAAGGCCAGCCCCTGCTGCCGGATGTTATGAGTCCAGGTCCTACCTCCACGCTTCAAGCGAAGGGGCCGAGGAAAGGCTTGGATGTTTATGTCAAGGAAAAATAACTTCTC